GAGGCCAGACGTACTGTTGGAGCTCAACATACTTGCTATCTCTATTCTCCATTTTTGTGCCCTGACACTTAAAAACCTGGCAACTTTGTTTCTGCACTTTCACATATTTAAAATGTGTGGGTTAAATTAAAAGATGACATTATGGCTAGCATTAAATGCTGTAAGAACAACACATCATTTTCTGATTAGGTGAAGTTTATAAAGTGCCTGCCACGTAGTCAAAGTGCTAAGAATTGCTCATCTCTACTGCAGCTAGGGAAATTAGATGTTGGTGGTTACTAATACTATTTGGTAAATCTCTAAAGTGAAATGTGCTCCTCAGCACGCAAGCCAGAATTGTGGAGAAATGCCATCTACTCTAAGGTGAAATTTAGTGTAAGATACCAGACTTTTGATGAAATCCATTGTCTGGAAGAACAGAAAGTTGTGAATTCCTTGTGGACATGAGGTATAAGAAAGGAGGTCTGGGTATCATTCCTTAACTTATTACCCACAGGGCCTCAGCTGCGTCACTGCTTACTGTCTCCAAGCCCCAGGTCCCTTACTTGAACATGTGAAGTGCTGGATTAGATCATTTCAACTTCCATTCAGCTGTCAAATTCTGTTACTGTGTGAAATCCCATATCACTACATGCTCCCAGAACCGTGTTAACAGAAAGCCATTTGAATGTTAAAAGGACATTCTTGATGGCAGGGAATGGAGCTTGACCAATAACTTCTTAGTGTCTCATACCTCAGAGGAATTGTGAGGCCGGGAATCAGCCCCATGCCCACTAAATAGGTCACTAGGACTAAGAAAAAGGACAGTCATTATGGAGCCCATCTGTGGACAGATAATCGCTGTACGATGGTTGATCTACTTAGCTCCTGCCTGCAAACTGTCCTTCTCAGTTTCGCTTTCATCCTCTTCCTCTGGGTTTCCTCTACTCCTGACCCCAGCCCCGAGGTCGGCCTTCATCCATTTATAGCTTATGCCTCTGCCCCCTGTCAAAAAGGACTTGCAGATACTTAATGGAAAAGGCCAGGATTTAAAAAACAATTGATCAAAGCCCTCAAACACGTTTGTTATGATTTCAGCTTCTTAGTAGATAAGGTCAAAAAAGAAGATAATTGGCCACCAAAGTCTCACTACTTGGAACAACAAAAAAAGGCCCACACACAATGATCACCACAGAGGCAAGGTATTGAATTTTAATCAGGAGCCCGCACTGTAGGCGAAAGTTCCAGAAGATCTTATTGTGTGCCAACGCATCTACACCAAGTCTTAGAACAACCCAGTGAGGTAGGTGCTATTTAACAGTCTGATTTTACAAGCAAGGAAATGAGAACTCAAGGAGAATAACTTACCCAAACCCCCGGTGTTTTCAGAAGGCAGAGCTAGGTTTCCAACCCAGATAGCCTGACCCCAGGGCCACAGGTTTTACCCCTCTGATAAACTGCCTCCTAACATTCCTGAAGGAGTTCTCACACAGGGATTCTGACTTACAGAACAGAAAAATCTCCAGAACCATTTCACCGATGGTAGAACACATTCAATTTGTTGTTTTTAGATTCTCCCAAACTCAGCCCTGACTGACTGGCATTTCAGATTAGGGACATATTAACGCTCAGAGGCTGGTGTAGCTCAGGAGTTTCTTAACTGTATTGTGCAATAAGAAATATTGCAATAAACTTTAAAAAATATTTCCAATAGCCCAATGGGCTCCGGAAATCAGATTCATTTTCAAATTTTGTAAGCATTGAAATGAATTTATGCAGGTCACCATGAACTCGAAAAACATGAATTTGAAAGGAATTAAGTGTCCAAACGTGGGAGTTGATGAAGCCAGAGAGAGCAACAAGGACATGCTGTTTATGTGGCAGATACACGGGTGGGGAGGGAGATGTGAATCACGTACACTACCTGTGCAGCTCTTGCCAAAAGGCAGCGCTTGGGCTGACTCTGCCTCTTTTTAACCACCACTTTTTCCCCTTGAAGTGGGAGAGGTTTCTAATGTAACCAGACTGGCTCGATCACCTCTTCCAGGAGGCCTTTTTCCTGATGCAGCATCATGAATAGGCAAGATAATGAGGGTGTACCTTGGCCTGAAGTTTGTATTCTGGGCAAAGGTGAATAAATCAGTCCACCCAGGCAGCTTTCACAAGGTCTGGAGGACAATACAAGTCTGTGCAAAGCCAACAGGCACAGATGAGAATATCCTGCAGCCCGAGCGTATTACCTACCGCAACCCCCGAGCTTACAGACTGCGCCAAAAAACCACGCTGTGTTAGAGGAAGGGTGGAGCTTGTATTTCTGAACAAGGATGCATAAGTATTTCAGAGAGAAATAAATCATTACCGTCTAACTCTCTGGTTCCCTTTAATCGCCTGCTCAAAACTTAAGAGACAATTGCAACTCTCTTTTTTAATGGGGGTAAGGAATAAAAAAAAAAAGGTACAACATACAGCAAATGCATTTTGGCTTCTTGAAGGTGGTTACTGCCTCTTCATCTACTTCTAAGAAATTAAATGTAACAACTTTAAATCAGTTTTTGTCACTTAATGGTGTTGTAGAAATGTTGTCTGTAAATGTATCATCCCTAAAGAACACAGCCAGCCTCTAAATTGATTTATACATTCAGGGCAATCTCTTTTAATATCTCAGCAGGATTGTGGGTAGGGAATAAATTGATTCTAAAATTTATATGGCAAGGCAAAGAGCCAGACTAATAATAATAAAAAAAAGGACGAAGCTAAAGACCTTAAACTACTTTTTTTTTTTTTTTTTTTTTTTTGGGTTTTTCTCCGGTACCGGGAACCGAACTCACGACCTTGCGCTTGCCAGGCAGGCGCTTTGCCGCTGAGCTAAATCCCCAGCCCCTTCCTTAAACTACTTGATTTCAAACTTACTATGAAGCTATCTGTAATAAGAGCATGTTTTTGCATAAGGATAGACTTACTGAGTAGTGGAACAGAAGAGGGTGTCCAGAAGTAAACCACACACTTACAGTCAATCAATTTTCAATAAAGTGTCAGGGAAATTTGGTGAAGGTATACTCTTTCCAGTAAATGAGGCTGGCAGAATTGGAAATCTGTGTCTAATTATATCCCTATCCTCATCACATACACAAAAATTAACTCGAAATGGACCATAGATCTGCATATAAAAAAACAAGCTTATAAAACTTCTAAACGTCCTGTTGATATTATTATTTGGCCCATGCATACTTAATTGTTTCTTTGGTTTTGTGTCCTCCAGTCTTAAAGCTACATGCCTACCCAAAATAAAAATGCAGCTGTTTATGGAGGGTTTTCGGACAGAAACGCTTGAGAGTATCTCTAACTGCTGATAAAGAACTACGACCCCTTTCAGCCTGATGAAGCCAGAGTGGTCATCATCCATTATTCCCTCATGGCAGTTTGGGTTACTTCTTTAGAGGGGGGAATGTTGTAGGCAACTGAGTAGATAGTTTTTCACCTTGAAAAAGCCAGGAAGAGTCACTGTTTCCCTACAGGAAAAGCCTCGGTTCTGTATTAAAGACCATTGAAAAGGTACAATAGATATAGTGAAAGGGAAAGAAACTGCTGAAAAGGAAAGAACAACTGGGATGGGGGAAAAGAAAAAGAAAGGGGAAAAAAATGATATGTATACATACACAAGATAGCTAAGATAATTGTATTACTAATTTCTATTAGTTCATTGAAAGGAACAGTTAGTGCTTATACTGTTTGATTAGTTTTGTATGCCTGTACCTGGTAATCTGAGCAACTACTTTGAAGATAACAATATGCAATATAATAACCATTGTTAATTTCCTATCACCTTGTTTTGAAATTCTGTATCATTTTTATTTCTTTCACTCATTATAATAAAAAGAGTTCAAATAATCCTTATATTAAATCATTCTTCCTCCAAAAAACAGACATTAAGAAAATGGAAAGATATGCCAAAGACTAGGAAATAATTTTGGAAATTGTATATCTGAAATTTTGTATTTCTTATATATTGTATATCTAAAATTGTATATCTGAAATTTTGGAAATTGTATATCTAATTGTGTATCTAAACAAGTCAGGGGGAAAGGAAGTGAAGATATGATCCAAAAACCAGATAAACTAAACTCTTTCATTCACTGTCTACAGTGACAGACCAGAATATACAATGGACTTGTATCCTGATTATATACAGCATTCTTGCAACTCAGTAATAAGAAGCAACCCAACCAAGTTAAAAAATGGGCAAAAGACTTAGGCTTGGGATATAGCTCAGTGGTAGAACATTTACCTAAACAGCCCTGAACTAGAAGCAATTCAGTCGACTCTCAATGGGTGAAAAGATAAATAAAATGTAGAAACAATTTAAAAATGGGATACTCCTAAGCAATAAGAAGAAACAGTGTTACTCATAATGCAAAGAGAGAGGTAAGCCTCAACAACATACTAAGTGAAAGAAGCCAGACACAAAAGACTACCTACTGCATGATTCCACTTATTTGCAATTTCTAGAAGAGGGGAAACTGAAGGGAGATAAAGTAGATCAGGGGTTGCTGAGGATGGGGATGGGAAAAGGAGGGACTGCAAACAAGCGGTCCACCTGGGGTAACAGGAAAGCCCTCAAACTGCATGCGGTAATGGTGGCACGACTGTATACATGTAGATCACACTGGGCATTTACAGCAAGTACAGTTTAAGGAATGCAAACTATTCCTCAATAAAGAGGCATGACAAAAAGTAAAACCCAACAAGTCAGGGGGAGAGGAAGTGAAGAGATGATCCGAAAACCAGATACACTCTTTCATTCACTGTCTACAGTGACAGGCCAGGGTACACAGGCATTTACTCCTGTTTAGAGGTCCAGATTCCTCTGGAAAGCTGTTGAAAAATATGGATTCTTTTTTCCAGAGCAAAATATACCTGCATGTATGTATAGCTATATGTGTGCATGCACACATACATACTACACTGTATTATTAGCAACTACATGAAGATTTTATTTTATATTATTTTTTGTGGTGCTGGGAATCCAACCCAGAACTTCCATGCTAGGCAAGAACCTAACCACTGAGCTATGTCCCAGCCCTGTGTGAAAACTTTACGCATTTTCAAAGAGATTTTAAAAACAGTTTATCTAATCATTGCTTTTCTGTCTTCAGATGAAATACCATTCCTTTTGGACAAGATGAGAAAATCAACTGCAGAGAGATTAAGTAACCTGCCCAAAACCATAGGGAAAGTTGAAAAAAGAACCCGAACTATTGTCTTAATCTGCATACAGCTAAGGCAAATCTTTAGCTCACTTTATATTGTGTGCCTTAAAACAATACTTTTCTTCTGACCCTTTAGGATAGGTGACACCATTCTTCTTGTTTTACAGTGATCAGATGAGGATCAGAGGTCAAATGACTTATTGCACCAAGGTCAAGGTCACATAGCTATCTGAACTGGGAAACACCTTACATTAGTGGGTATAAAGTCACCTGTCCTATATCAAGAACACCATCTCATACTGTCTTCCTTGTTTCAGAATTCTTAGGCACCTAGGTAAGTAATTCCTGTATGATGTAAAAGGCCATTACAATGATCAAGGAGAGAATATTTTATTAACATATATCATGGATATTTTGCCAAACTTCAAGGCTGAGCAAATAATTACATAAAAGGCAAAATAAATCTGTGTACTAGAAATTAATCACTTCTCCCCCTGGGCTCACACATCTGTTTGATTTTGCCTTCTGTTATTATGACTGGATTGTCTGCTCCACCCCACCGTGTATTACAGAGCAGGGAGGTAGGCTTTGGAACCAAGAGAATCCAGGTTCTAAATTCTGACGTGCATGTGGTGGAGCCCTGGACACTATTCTTCTCGGTGTTGCCATGAAAATTAAAATAACCAAAGGTGAGTTAGTGGCAAAGTACCAACTGGTACCCATCAACACAGTTCATTAATAATCTCCATCAAGGCAGGTAAACTTTTTCTACTTCTTTCCCACTCGATTACACATTCCTTTAAAGACACAAGTCACACCTGTATCTTTAAGCTTTCTTATTTCCCACACAGCAAATTCTCTACATGGCCCAGTGAATCAATACGTCCACAGGAACTCTTATCAAAAACCACTAAACTGATTAGCAACCCCTCCCTGGACAAGCACGGTGGCCACAAGAGAAGGGCAAGATGAACTCTTGCGCCCCAGCTCGAATTTCAGAATTTTTCTTGTTAGCTGATACTCTGCTAAGCCCCTCACAAATCCTGTCCATCCACCTCTCTTGGCAATGCTGAGAGGCAGGAATTTATGTCCATTTAACAGAGGAGGAAATCATCCCAGGTGTCTCAGTTAGCACAGGGTAGAGCTGGGATCTGAACCCAGCCCTGTCTCAGTGTGTAGGGCCCCGGGTTCAAACCACTGGGTCCTTCCAAGAGCCCTCGCCCCTCGGAACATGGTCAATGTGGGCAGCCTCCCTGAAATCTCCCAGGCAGTGCAGATCTCCTGTGACTGTCATTGTTCCACTTGCTTTTTGAGAATACAAATAAAATGTTACTGTATAAAATCAAGTCTTCATGTTTCACAGTTTAGCAAGGCTAAAGAAAGTTGAGATAATTTTTTAAGCCTTCAGCTAAAATTTTACTCTACCCTTTCTGCTTCTAACTATGGAAAAGAGCCTTGCCAGATTAAACAAAACAAAACAAAACTACAGCACAACTGATACAAACTCTTCTTAAATTCGACTATCCCCCATGTTGTTTGTTTGTTTTTAAATAGATCCCGTTAGGGCCATGTTAAATTCACAGAAAAGTGAGTGGAAACTAGAGCACCCATATACTCCCTGCTCCTGCCACAGGCTCCCCCGCTACCAACAGCCCACACCTGGGTGGTAAATTTGTTATCACTGAGGACCTACACAAGTATCACCCAAGTCCGTACTTATTGTAGGGCTCACATTCTGGGTCTGGACAAATTAAAATGACATATCTACCATTACAGCGTCATACACAATTGTTTCCCTGCCTTCCAAGCCCCCTATGTTTTGCCTATTCACCCTTAGTGCTATCTCGTGGGATAGATAAATGTCATGGTATGCGATACTGTGACCCTAGAACCTTGTGAACATCCCAGGCAGCTCTAGCCTGCCCCTAATTTTCAAATTCAACTCATATCTCCCAAAAACCAAGCATCCAGGAATGAGATCAGGGACGGACGAAATAGCATGGATATAATCATCTCATTACTGTCTTCTGGTAAATTATTAAGAAACACAGCATAGTTCAGAGGGAAAATAAGGACCAGAAGTATACACTGAATTTCCCTGGGGACTAACTCCCAGGAAGGCTTTTTGTGTAGCCTGTTTAGCAGCTTTTTTTTCTTTTCTTCATCAGCAACAATGTCAGCATTGTACATATTATATCAATTGCTCTTCTTTACAGGAGGAAATTTGTGGGGGTTTTTAATTTGGTTTTTTTTGGGGGGAGGGGGCAAAGTTTTGCTAACAGACCCTGGCCTGGCCCTTAAACTTCTAGTCTTCCTACCTCAGCCTCCAGAGTGCTGGGATTATAGATGTGTACCATCTTTTCAAAAGAGTAAAGTCTTGAAAAAACACCTTTTTGCTCCTCCTTTGGAGAGGGAAAGGGGTGTAACTTTAAGTAAAATTCTCCTTTATTGAAGCAAGCTGCAGTCTGAGAATAATGCAAAGGTCATAAATGTATAGCTCAACAAAATTTTATAAATGCAAGTACTTTGAAACCAATACTCAAATGAAGAAAGCATGTTATCTGTATCCAGATATGCCCTCAAGTCTCCTCAGAAAACTATAGCTTCAAATCACTGTGGACTTCTAACTCATATGCTACTTTAGATTGTTTTGAAGCAGAAGCAAATCTACCTAGCTTCTTTCACTAAACACTGTGAGATTACCCATGAGGCTGCCGTAATTGTATTTCATTGAAGTCCATCATTCCACTGTACCTTTTTGTGCAGATATTCTGTGTTTTATTTATCTATTGT